TTCAGAATTAGCTGGACTTGGATCCAAATCCACCCCTGTCATTTCTAGCTGTGTGACCTTAAAGACATTACTTAACTTCTTTAACTCTCAGTTTCCTAATTCGTAGACCAGAGATTAACATGCACAAGACAATGTAAGTAAAAGGTGTCGCACAGTGCCTAATTGGACACAAGACGGTGTCTGATTAATGTTCATAAATTAGTATGTATTCCACAATGAAGCAGGGTGTTTCCACTCTATTCCTAAACCCTTTCCTACTAATGTTTGCACCAAGAGATAATACAAAAATATTAGGTTTTTATCCAATTCATAGCAAACAAAACTGATTTAAAACAATGAAACAACAGCTAAAATGACATAGAATAAAATGTATTAACTAAAAACTGGCAGAAAAATCACAACTCCTTGACAAAAATTTAGATCTGCAGAATTTGAGTTAGGAAATTTGGGCTTGATAGACATGAATGCCACAAAGGGAAAGAGAAAGAAAGAAGCCTATCACACAACCGCAAAAGCTATCGGTATAATTAACATGAAGCAAATGGCGAACAATGAATTGAATTCTAATTTCCACGAATAGCAACTGACCGTGATGAAAATAATTTCAGCTAAAAACATGGAAAATTATGTAAATATTTGTATCCATAAACACAGAATCAAAACATACCTGGGATCAAAAAGGCACCCAGAATCAAAAGCATTATTTATTGACTTAATAAAAACACAAAGGATGGAAAGTAGAATAGAGCAGAGTTTCCATTAGTGACAACCAAAACTGCTCCTCTCCTTTGCTGAACGAAATTAAGTATGCTGTGGGCTTTCTTCCCTTTGGAAGACCAGATCACAGCTGTGCAGAGCAAACACTGAGTTTCTACAGGGGCAGAAAAGGGAATGGAATCATTTGCTCTATTGTTAACAGCTGAGACTTTCTTAGTTTGAAAAGAACTTTTATTTTTCTGAGGATAACTGTAATTTTCCCATAAGTATGTGAAAATATTATACAAAATATATAATAATCAAGATACAAATGAAGTTAGAGTTTATGTAAGAGAGAGACTCTATTTAATAGGGGGCCTCACCAGTTTTCTGGCTTAGACAGAGGCTAGAAGGGCTTGCAGATAGTCACGTGGCACTGAACTAGGAGAAAGTATCCTTTTTGCAACTCATGATGCAGAAAGAAACCCGTTCCTCTGACATAGGCATGAAATGTGATTTCTTTCTTCAATCACAGAAGCAATTCCAGAAACCATTGTCTTGCCATGGCCTCAGGAATGGGATCAGTGCTTTGAAGTTCCACTGAGGTAAAGAGTCACCTTGCCAAGATCCAGGCAGGAGAGTCACGGGATAGATGCTCTCAACTTGGTGGCTATACCTAAATCATGCCACCTTAGATTTGGAATCCATATACTGAATTCCAGGAGTTGGGAAATGAGAAGAAAAGGTAACAGTGCACTGTTGTCAAAAGCTGATAACAGACTGGTGTACTCGACCCCCATAAACTCTCACCAACCAGCCTCATGTGGTAGTGGCGCCAGTCAGGCAGGGGAAGTTAGAACTAAATCATGAGTGTAGCAGCCGTCAATTTAGCCCTTATGGCTTACTAATGTTCTAATTGTGCCAGTCAGTCTGGGAGGATTATTTTGCTGAAACTTATTTTATTCTTTGGTATTTTAAACATGTTCATTTAAAAAATATAAAAGATGAATAAAAATGTATTAATAAAAATAAAAGTATTTGTTCTGTAAAATTTGGATTCAGTCAAAAGGCTGCACCTTAAGGACCTAGAAGGCCATATGTGGCCTTAAGGCCGCAGGTTCCCCACCCCGCTTTAGACCCTCACCCCAGAGAAACACACATTTATACAATATTTACAATTAATTTAAGAGGTTTATGGAGCCTCTCCACTCCGCTCAAAGCCCAATGAACCAGGTTAAAGCTGCTTGGTCTTTGCAGCAAAGTGGGGCTGGCTGGGCTCAGTGAGGTGCAGCCCTGTCTTCTCTGGCCCTTTTGTAATCACTGGAACGCAGGCACTCTGTAAAGGAATACTTCCCACAGGCCAGCTGCTGATTATTGTGGTCATTTGCACTTCCTCAAACTCCTCTTGTGTACACAGAGAAGCAAACAAAACACTCCCCCAAAGCGACATTAAAGGTCTGATTTCAAACCACAAAACTATCAGAAAATGGAGATCTGTAGTCCAACCACACACATGCAGAATCACAGATGACCTGAGTGAGTGTTTAGATGACAGGTTCAGATTTTGGATCTACCATTTCCAATGTGAAATGATAATTTGACATTTCTTTGCTTTCTCATCTTAGAGACACAACTAATTTTTATAATACATCTAGAGGTTCTTAGTATCAAAATACAGTCATGTGCTGCATAATGTTTCGGTCAGTGAGGGGTTGCTTACATGACAGTCCCATTATTTTTACTGTACCTTTTCTGTGTTTAGCTATGTTTAGATACCCAAATACTCCCCACCACTGTGTTACAATTGCCTACAGTATTTAGTACAGTAGCATGCTGTCCAGATTTGTGGCCTGGGAGCAAAAGGCTATACCATATAGCCTAGGTGTACAGTAGGCTATACCACCTAGGTTTGTGTAAGTATACTCCATGATGTTCACACAATGACAAAATCACCTAATAAAATCATTCTCAGAACATATCCCCATTGTCAAGTGACGCATGACTGTAAATTACAAAGCAATTCTCCTCAATAGCAACCTGTGGCTCCAATGTTAATTATCTTATTAAAGTCAAGACGAATACATGAAGAAGGACCCTAACCCCACGGGGAACAAGGTTCCCATTGAAAAGAACTTGGAAAGCAATACTCTATGCAAATCCAGTGACAATATCAAGCATGATATCCCATAAAATGCATCATCACTGCCACCAGGCCTTCATACAGACCCGGGGGTAAGGGTAGGGACACGGAGGACTCTGCCCTTTTTTCTGCCTAATTTACAGTCTCATGCTGACCCTCAAGCTTCAAAACTTGTTTACCAGGGGGAAAAAAAGAACGAGGAAATAAATGAGACTTTCACAAACCAAGAAGATTAAAGAAAGGGCCAATCCTTTTCAACAGGATATAACAGGGAACTCTGGAGAAACCCATAAGAGGTCTGACCTGTTGAGAAGTGACAGGTGAGTTACTATAACAGCGTCTTCATCCTTATCTAGAAGCAGAACCACAGAGGTTCCTAACAGCCAAACTGGCCCAGATGGGGTTTGACTCTCCCACTGTCAGCACCCAACGCTTTCCTTCTCTGTAGACTGTAATATATTGGTTTTCATTTCAAGGGCACTAATGGTTTCCTGGTGGCTTAAGTCTTGACACAAATATTACAATGAAAGAGATGACCTATTTCTCTTCTTCAGTCCGTATTTTTCAAAATTTTTGTAATGTCCTCTATCATTTTATTCTCACAATAAGCCTGTTAAGTAGGTGCATTTCTATTCCAGATTGAGGAATAGTACTCTCATCCTCTCAATAAACCATAAGCATATTCATTTTTAAAATTACAATAAAGCCCAGGGATATAAAAACAAAGAAAGAAATTATGAAACTGAGAGGCTTTCTTATGTTAATTAGAATTGAATAAAGTTAATGAAATTTAATAAAATCTTTAAACTAGGCATTCACAACTAAATATTTAAGTGTAACTGTTTACGTCAAGTCCAATAGCTAAAACAAGAACTGCGAGGAATCTGGGCTACCACCACGATGTGTTATGTTCTGTGAGAGATAAAGGTCCAAGGGCAATGTAAGAAATGATTCAAGGCAGAAATGTGCACACACATTCAGACTTTGAACCTGAGTCTGTTTTCAAACCGTGAGTTAGAAAGTCTCTCTTCCCTCTACCTTTCACTCTTTTTCTAAAAGTGAGAGTGTCATCTATTTTGAACCACAAGCCAAACAGTACACTTTTTGGTCTGCTTCAAGAACACCGTAATACTGAAGAAACTGATCTGACTGCAGAACTATCATCTCTAGAAAGTAGCTTAGAAAAAAAGAATAAATTCTTAGCTTTCACACATTATTGATAAGAATACCATCCAATATAGAAATGCTATGCAACTCGAACTTTCTTACTTGCTCTTCAGGATAAATTGCTATGCAGCACCACAAAAGTCTTTTTCAGTAAAGCTACTTTTACATCCTACTGGCCCACGGTACAAGGCAGCCATGATCTCACTACAACAAATGCTCTCTTTACAGTAAATAAAGACATAGCACAGGTGCTTTCTCCAACCTAGTTCGCTCATGAAAAGGTCAGTCTCTACAAGAAAAGATTGTTGAGTTGAAAGTAGGACAAGAAAGCAGAGCTCTTAAGAAGCCTTTTATATGTTGCAAATAGCAACTGCCCTTCAACTACCTTCACACATTTTCCATCTTCACACAGAAAAAAATCAGCTCCTCTTAGAAAATATACAGTGAACTAACAAAGTGTCCACCAAATAAGATGCCATTGAACAAAAAAGTCAGCTAGGCTGCAGACACAGAACGATTACTTCACTTTCCTTTTGCTGCTGGATTTAGATGACTTAAGGGTTTGTGTCACCTATAGCAGGCTGGGTTTTAGTTTGGACTGTCCCTGTAAGCTATGAGGATTAACTGGTAGATTTTAGGCAGAAGAATGACATGATCCAATTTTATTCTTCAAAAAGTGGGTTCATTCCGGTGGCACTGCGAAAGCTGCAATGAAGTCCAAGAGGACAGCGGGGCATTGCAGTAACCCAGGCAAGAGATAAACAAAGCCTGGACTAAAGCTGTGGCAATGGAAAGGAAGGAAAAAAAGATGTCTTAGAGGTGGACTCGGTGGACCTGGTGACAGGTTATCAGAGGTAAGGAAAAGGCAAGCCATGTGAGCAGTGAAGCAAAGGCCATGAGTATAACTTCTCACAGCCTATTAACTATAAAGGAAATTATAGTAATGTAGAGGACTCATTAGGTTAATTACAATGGAATTTCACCTCTATTTCCTTACCTTGGCAGCAGAGTTTGAGACTCCATGTGTAACATTTCTGATGAGCCCACCGACATTTCCGTACTTTATCAGTCCAGTAACCCCTTCAGAAACGTCATTCAAAAGTCCCATAGGATTGCCAAGAAAATCCACTGATCCCAGGATTCGAGCTGCCTGGCTGAGGAGTTCCTGTCCAATGGAGTAAGAAGAGAAAAATCAAATCAGCACTTGTTTATATTTGCAGTTACCAGTGTCCCAAGCAAAAAGGTTAGCCCTCCATTCCCATTACTATAACAATTACCTTTTAAACCTTCATCAGTGGCAAAATAATCTCCTGTCCTTTCATGGGCTCTACCTAAACTTCTCCCAATACATATATCTCTGAGATTGCTTTCAATATTGTTAGAAATACAAAGCCAGTTGGAAGGATAAAAATAGCTATGAAATAGGAAACATTTTTTTATTTATTTTTTAAACATCCAGCCCAAAATGTCAGGAAATATTCTTCTTGAGTGTATTTATTAGTATATGCATCATACTCTCCTTTCCATCATTCCTACAAATAGAGACCTAATCAGCAGCAGGGGGAATTTTAGAAGGAAAGTGAGAGAGGGAGGTAGATTTGTAGTTCCCCCTCCTAAGCTGTGGGGGGCCATGGGGAAGATGGAAAGACTTAACCCACCCTCCACTCTTTTTGTACTTCCAATTGCCTGGTTCCAGGTTCGGGTGACATCTGCTGTATCACTTTCCTTACAGTTAGGTAGAAATAGCATAAATTAGAAAAGTCAAGGAAGGAAGCGAGAAAGGAAAGGAGGGAGGGAAAAAAGGAAGCAAGAACAGAATATATTTTAACTTTGAAAGCTAATAAATTTGATGTGATCTTAACCTATCTATTCATTGAAGAATATGAGCTGGCTTTACATTTTGGTCTTTGCAGTCTGGATAACAAATGGAAAATGTTCAACTTGATTTAAAAAAATTTTCAAGTTCAACTCAAGTTCAACTCAAGGGCAGTTCAGTCTCATAGGCTCTAAGAACACTGGTGTGGTTGTTGAAAGTAGACCCATGCCTGGCAAATAAAGAGCTCAAAGTATTTTGTGTTATTATTAAAGCATCAATTTAACCATTAAGAGTTGTGACTAACTTAGTGGAAGCCCCTGGGACTAGCTCTAAAGGACAAGACTAACAGCTCATAAGTCAAATGTACTGTCTTAGGATTTTCTTGTAAATGGGCTTCAAGGGATGTGACCTGACTCATAACACAACAGAGCTGAAATGTTTAACTGGGCTCTCAATAGTAATGTCTTAGTAACCAAAATTTCCAAACAACTAAAACAAACATTCTCTTTATGCTCGAGCCAGTAAGTATTTCTCCAAAGCTCACCTCCTGGAAATGTTTGAGGATATCATTGATGATGAACTCCTTGGTCTCATAGGGATGTACCCGAGTGAATGGATCCAAATTAATCACAGCATCTTCAAACCGAATCAAAGGAAATCCCAAGGTGCTTTTGAGGGCCTAATTAGGGAAGAAAGGAAATTATATACTTTAGCCATATGATGGCCTTCCAGGGTACTATAATTCTAGATTCCATAAAAGCCTCAAGTCATGTTAACTTTTCAATGAGAGTCAAGGTTTTGATATTTATAAATAAGGATTTTCCCTATAATTATAAAAGTAAAATATTAGGAAAATACACACACACACACACACACACAAAGTCACATATATCATACAGAAATAAACAGTTAGCTTCAAGGCATAATTCCTTTTGGTCTGTTTTGTACTTATGTGTTTATCATGCTTTACTTTTGCAATGACGTTTACCACACATACAGAAAAGGGTACTAATCAAATGTACAGTTCAATAATTTTTACCAAAGTGAACACAATGATGTAACCACCACCCAGATCAGAAAGTAAATTATTATCCCCATCTTGGAAACAGATCCCTCCCCATTTGCAGACTCCCACCCACTACTTCCTCCTTCTTTCCCAAAGAGAACCACTATCGTGACTTATATCATCACAGATTAGTTTTTCCTGGTTTGAATTGTATATAAATAAGATCATTAGTATGCAGTTTGTTGTAGGTGGCTTCTTATAGACAGTATAACTATGTGAGATTCACTAGGTTGTTGCATATAGCTGCAGTTCATTAATTTTCATTGCCATATAACATTCCACTCTACAAGTAAAACACTATTTAATCATTACTGTTGATAAAAAGTTGGGTTGTTTGAAATTTTTTGCTATTATGAATAATGCTATGAATATTCTTAGACATGTCTTTTGGGGCACATATGTATGCATATTTCTTAGATATATACCTGGGAGTGGAACTGTTGGGTCATAAAGAAAGTACATGTTCAACTTTGATATAGACTGCCAGTTTTCTAAAGCAGCTGAACCAATGTATGCTTCCTCCAGCAGTCTACAGAAATCCTTGTTGTTCTACATCCTCATCAACACTAAGTATAGGTAGATTTTAAAGAAAACAGATATCCTGATGGGTATGTAATAGTACTTCACTGTGGTTTTAATGTCCATTTTCCTGTTGACAAATGAGATTAAGCACCTTTTAGTATGCACATTGGCTATTTGGATATCTTTCTGTGGAGTGCCTATGCAAGTCTTTTGCTCATTTTTGTGGTGAGTTCCTGTTTTTTTCTTACCAATTTGTAGGAGTTTTTCTTATGTATTCTGTATGTAAGTCCTCTGTTGAATAGAGGTATTACAAATATCTTTTCCCATTCTATGACTTGTCTCATTACTCTTTAAATGGTGTCTTTTAATGATCAGACATTCTTAATTTTAAGGAAATCCACCTTATCAATCTTTTCCTTTATGGTAAGGCTTTCTGTGTCCTGGTTAAGAAATTATTATTGGTGCAGTGGCTCACACCTATAATCACAGCACTTTGGGAGGCCAAGATGGGAAGTTCACTTGAGGCCAGGAGTTTGAAACAAGACTGGGCACATAGTGAGACCCCATCTCTACAAAAAATAAGAAAAATTAGCTGGGTGTGGTGGTACATGCCAATAGTCCCAGCTCCTTGGGAGGCTTAGGCAGGAGGATCACTTGAGCCCAGGAGTTTGAGGCTGCAGTGAGCTATGATCATGCCACTGCACACCAGTGTGGGTAACAGAGTGAGACCCTGTCTCTAAAAAATAAAAAATAATTAAAAAAAAAATTATTATCTATACCAAGGTCATAAAGATATTCTCATGTTTATTTATACTATTGTTTTACCCTTTACACTTAAATCTATAATCTACTTACACTTGATTTTTATGTACAGTGTGAGGTAAAGCTCAAGATTCACTATTCCCAGTGGATATCTAATTGACTAAGTAATATTTATTGAAAAGACCATCCTTTCCCCCATTGCAGTACAGTGCAAACTCTGTCATAAGTCAAGTGATGGTATTTATCCATTTCTGGATTCTCTTTTCTGATTTACTTTGTTTTGTTTTCTACCAATACCATACTCTCTTAATTATTGTACTTTTGTAATTATGTTTGAAATCTAATAATGTAAGCTCTTCAACTTTTATTTTTTTTCTTCAGGATTACTTTAGCCATCCTTTGTGCTTTTCAATTGCATATAAATTTTGGAATCAGCCTGTCAATTTGCCACAAAAAATTACTGGAGTTTTTGCCAGGACTGTACTGAATCTATAGATCAATTTGAGGAACAATAGCAATTTTACAATAATAAGCCTTTAAATGTATTAACATAGCATATTTCTTCATCTATTTAGGTCTTTAATTTCTCTTAATAATATTTAATTGTTTCCTGTGTTTCTGTGTAGAGGTCTTGTACATCTTTTGTTGGATTTATTCCTAGGTATCTGTGGCAGGTTAAAAATGGCCAAAAATTCTTTGCATCTTCTTCTATCAAGAGGTGGAGTCTACTTCCCCCTAGTTTGAATCTTTTTTATTTTTCTTTCCAGTTCTTCTACCTTTTATTTTTTTGTTAAAAAAAAAAAAAATATATATATATATACACACACACATATATATACATATATATATACACACACACACACATATATATATATATATCTTCCTTGTTTTCTTCCCTTGGCTAGGATCTCTAGTATAACAGTGAACAGAAGTGGTGATAATGAGCATCCTTCCCTTATCTCAAGGAAAACCTTTTAATATATCACCAATGAGTATGACGTTTGCTGTCACTTTTTCAGATACACTTTATCATAAGTGGATGTTGAATTTTGTCAAATGACTTTTGTGTACTTTTGAGATAATCATATTTTTTTCCTGTCATTTTACTGATGTGAATTAAAACACTTATTTGCAAATGTTAAATTTGTATTCCTGGAATAAATATAATTGGGTTATATTATTCTTCTTATATATTTCTATATTTGATTTACTAATATTTTGTTGAGATTTCTTGCTTCTATATTCATGAAAAAGTACTAGTCTATAATTTCCTTTATTATTTGATAGTTTTTTAAAGATAAATTATAGTTTTCTGGTAAAATTCTCGAACACGTAGTTATTTTAAATTCTGGGTCTGAAAATGCCAACATCCAGTTGACCTATGGGTCTGTTTCTAGTGTTTGTTTTTTCTCTTGGCTCCATCTCTCAGTAGGCCTGTAATTTGTGACTGAATGCACTATTTTGCATGAAAACTTGTAAAGACTTTGGATAAGTCTTCAACTTCTGACAGGTAGTTAGAGTAAGAGGCATAATGCCTTAATCCAACCAGGGTTTGGGTTTTCTCAAGGCTGGGTTTCAATCTTTAAAAGTCCTGGTCTATTTCAGTCCTTATGAAGCCTGGTGTAGCCCCATAGCAATCTCAACCAAAAACCAGTGCCATTCCTGCACAGTACCATAAAACTGCCAAAAGATCTATTTAGTTCTTCAGCCTCTTAGCTGCCACTTATTGCTTAGCTTCTCTCAGACTACGTCACTTAGAAATTGGCAAATTCCTCAAGAAATAAAGCAGCTTGGACTGCTGGGGTCTGTTTTCTGCCTGTCCCTTCTCTGTAAGATATTAGCCCTTCAGTTACAGCTCTCTCAGTAGCAATGAAGCTTAACCTGTGCTGTACCAGCCCTGTGAGTGCCAAAAGCTTCATGTGGATTCTCTGCCCTTTGGCAGCTGCTTTCTGCTTGGCTTCTTTACCTTTTTCCCTATAGTACTTAGAAATCAGAAAAAGTCTCAAGAATAAAAGTAAAATAAACGTTGGGCTCACCTTACTGAGTTTCTCTCCTCTCATAAATTTTGGAATCTCAAGTCCTGGACATCTCGGTAACATTCCAATGGCTTCAAACAGACTTTTTTTTTCCTATCTAGCTTTTCCTGAAGTTCTCAGCTAGCTTAGGTCTGCTTTAAGCCAGTTAACAATTTCTGGATATGGGTCTATTTTCTGATTATATTTTTATTTAACATGATTGATATTTCAAGGTGTTTGGAAGGCATACCAAATACTCTTCTTTACCGAATGTGAAAAAACATTTTTTCATGCTAATAATATCAGTAAATCTCTGATCTACTTGGAATTTATCCTTATATGCAGTGTAAAGAATAAATCTAATTTTATATTTTTCCATGGTTATTTAGTCTAATAGCATTATTAAAAAGTCTACATATTCCCCACTGAATTAAAATGTCTTTATTGTATATTAAAACTTAAGGTACAATTTAATGGAATTTCTATTTGATTTTCTCACTTATTTTTTAATCTTTTTGCACATATTTTCAGAGGCTGCCTTAAATTCTTTTAGAACAAGAGTATGCTTAATTGAAATTAAATCATATAATGGAAGAAAGATAGATGAAATTTTTGAAAACCAGAGAGAGGAAAGGTTTTTTTGTGACTCAAAATTCAGATTCAAAAAGGCAAAAGACTGATACATTTGACAACATAAAAATAAAAAGTTCTTGTATGACTAAACACACACAAACATGCATATTTCCAAAAGCAAAGTAAAAAGATGAATGAAAAACTGAAGAAAAAAACACTTGCAACTCTCATCAGAGACAAAACTTTAACAAAGTTTTCTAAAATTAGAAAAGATAAAAGACCAATAACCTGATAGAAAAATAGACAAGTGATATAACCAGACAGTTAAGCCAGAAAAAAATGGCCCATTAATATACGGGTTAGGAAAAGAAGAAGTAGAAAAAAAGGAAAGCAACAAATAGAGTTAAGAGAAGAACCAGAAAGGACTGACGTGAAAAACAGGGAGGTCAGCAATATCAAAAATGGCAGAGAACTCTTACAAAGATAAGGACAGAAAAAAGGCCAGTGCATTTGGTGCCATGAGAAGTCACTGATAACCTACTACTAAGTAATTTCAGAACAAAACATTTTAGAGATTAAGAGCAACCTCGAGTTAATTCAGCCTAACATTCTCATTTTTCTTTCTGTAGAAATAAAACTGAAGAAAAGTGGATGATCTAAACTCATGTAGCTAGCCATTGGCAGATCTCAGACTTGATCACGTTCATTTTCATAACAGCAACAACCTACCAGGTAGAAGTAAAAGTCAGAATGGAGGATTATGTTATTTTTCCTGAAAAACTTTCTGCTATCAATTCACCCATGCCCCACCCCCACCCCCATGATGAGTGATCATAAAGTAAGTGAGCATGCCTCATTTTCCTCCTTCCATGGACAAAGAAACTAAGGCTCAGTGAGCTTAACTGCCAGCCACACAATAGCTATGCGGGGACAGCCAGCTCAGCACTTTGTTGCCAGTACCACTCTGAGCATGACTTTCTTCTCAGAGAAGAGGAAATGAGATCAAAACAAAGACTCAAGGTAAAAAGCTTTTAACCCCACTTCCTCAATGCAACCAAACACTGAAGAAGAACCACACACGGTAACAAAGACTCTGAAACCTCCACTCAGTCGTCGAAACCTCCATGATAAACACTATTCCCATTTTGAATGACTAAGGTTCTTTGTCTGAACCAAGGGAATATTTTGGCCCTTAAGTAAAAATGATCTTTACTAGTCATTTACTGCTCTTGGGACTCCCACATTTGAAAAAGCTGAGCTACAGCCTGTTGGTGTGAGTTATTCTGCCACCTTCAGGTAGACCTGGTCAGTCAAAGCAGACAAGACGAGAGGGAAAGAGCCAAACAGGACTTTTTCCTGTAGAACTAAACGACTAATCAAATACAGTAGTATACAGACTTGATGCTTATTTGCTCAAGTAGCAGTTTCCTGTTATAAAATGGATTCTGGAGAAAGCAATCCCGTGCTCATAAGTTCCTAATAAAAATAGGAAACTGTCTATCCCTATCTCCCCAGAAAAAAAATGCTGAAGTCTTCCAGAAACTTTATAGAGTTGAAAGAAGAAATACCTGTCTATATACCATAAGGTCTCAGATCACAAGCTATTCCCTCGGCCATGTCTTTTCCTTTCTTAGTTTATCCTGCATTAAACAAAACTGTCTGGAATTCATTCTTTAAAGGTTTATTTATGGTACATAGAGACTGTTTATGTGAAGCAGAGTATTTGCCTATTTCCCTCTTGGGACAATGTTTAAAACTACAGGGATATTTCCCTCTCTGGCACTTTCTGAAATACAATTAACAATACTGGATCTTTTTTCCTTTTAACAAATCTGGTTTTTATTTAAGGAGGGGAGGAAAAAAGTAAAGGGTCTGAAGTTTCCCAACAAATTATTTCAAGCCTTGAGAAGACAGTTTTAGGCTTTTTAAATAGTGTCTTTGTTTGAAATTCCCCCTTACCCCCACCCTCTCACTCTGACCATTAAAATGTGGGGTTTCTTCCAAACTAGATTGCTCAATTAAAGCCCTTCTTTTGTAATACCCCAATGCTCTAAATGGAAAAAGGGCTGCTGTAGGCCACCTTGTGAAACCTTTTAAAGGCTCCTGGTTGCTTTTGATCTTTAAAAAAACCAAAAACACATATAAACTACCTGGCATTTGCAATATTACTGTGCCACTCTGTAGTATGCAAACTTGGGAGAATAATGGGGAGGAGGAGGAATGGGGGAGGAATGCTGCGCTTTCGCCTCTTGCATTTGTGAAATGGGACTATTATCTCCCCCTTCTTCCATCACAGAGTAAGGAATCCAATTGAGATAGCAGATGTGAAATTACTTTGAGTCCTTTTGAACAGACACTATATCTGGCAACAATGTACCCTCAGTGTAAACCTGAAGAGACTTCCCTCTGAGATTTCTGACAGCCTCACTTCTGGCCTGGAGTCAGGAGAATCAAGATAATTATTCCTTCAATACCAAAGACATGGTTACCTTTTAGTCAGACTCTTGTGATTCCTGTTCAGGGATAGGACTCCATTTTCTAAGCATATACTTCTAGCTATTATATATTCATCTAAAAGAGCATATTGCCCTTTCTAAGAGCTACTAATAAAGGCATATTACTCTGTTAGGAAACTCTTTGAATAAATGACATTATTTTATGAGTCCCAGACTCCACCAGGAGAACTCAAGACACAGTAAAATGGTGCTTTCCATAAGCTAAGAATTTAACTCTGAAGCGCCCTGCTGGAAACATCTCCTTGCTGCACTCAGGATGGCCCCCACCCCCTGCACCTCATAAAGTGGCTGCTCCATTTAATTTGTTTAACAATGATTTGAAAAATGCCTTGAAAATGTTCCTTCGACACAGTGCCAGATGAAACATCCAACCTAAGTGGTTTCTAGTTTATTGTGTGCAGAATGCACACACAAGCATCAATACAGGGTAACTGGGGGACTGGAGCTACTTCAACTGCAGAAAATCATGCAGATTTTGTCAGTCTGAGGAAGTTTTCTGCTGGGAATAATTTGAAAGGAATAGGTAAGTGTCTGTGTTTCTCAGTAAGATGATTTTAAAAACAAGAAGTCCTCAACTCTCAGTAGCTGCTTAACATTGGTTTGTTGGGCGAGTGCCAAGTGTTCTGGGAGAATATATACTTTATCAAACAAACCCATTCCAAAGGGTCACATAAGTCAAGTGGATACTTGTGGATATTAGCAAGATAGTGGTTTTCCCATGGTTTTCCCCTTACTCCCATGCTAACTATAAGTATCTCCAGTCTCCTGGGAAACATGAAATTAAAGCAAATTAAGCAGACAGGGCTGTGAGTGGAGAAGGGCACACTGCACTATTTTAGGGTGGTTGCAGGAGCAATTACTGCTCACTGGACCTGACCAGCACTCCCAGCCGCTTGTCCCCAGCTTGCCACCCCAATGAAGCAGTTACCCCTGCCCTACCCTTATCCAAATTATGATCTGATGGTGACCAGACTACTGTCTCATTACCTATAAGTCTATTTCAGAAGTTGTGAGTTGGCAGACCACGGGCCACATGAGGCCCACAGATGGGTTTTGTTAGGCCCCCAAGGTTTAAAAAAAACCAAGAAACTTGAATTGGTTTCCAACATTTAAAAACCAGGAGATTCCACATAAAAATCCAGATTTCCGGCTTCTCTTTAAAAATCTGAAGGATCTGGCAACACTGGGCTCACATTCCCTCATGACGACAATCGGCTGGAGCCGAGCTGCAGCTACGTCTCCGGATGGAGCCTGTGCTCTGGGCCTGCCCGGCCTGCTGTGCTGCTCACTGGCATCGCAGCCCCTGCGGGAATCTGAAGTTAGGAGTCTAGGTTTACTCCTTATCTGCTCATATCTCTAGCTGTTGCTACTCAGAAAGAGAGACCATCTTGTGGCATCTTAGATGAGGCAGCATGGGACAGTGGGAAAAAACCTCAGACTGGTAGTTCTTGGAAGATGAAGTCTTAATAACCATCTTCAAGAACAACAGAGAAAAGAACCAGAACTAATGGGTACAAGCTGCAGGGAGGCAGATTTTGACTCAGACAAAGGAAAGACTTTTTTTTTTTTTTAAGAGACAGGATCTTGCTGTCACCCAGGCAGTGGTGTGATCACAGCTCACTATAGCCTCTAACTCCTGGGCTCAAGTGATCCTTTCACTTCTGCCTCCCCAGTAGCTGGGTCTATAGGTGCATCCCATCATGCCCAGCTAATTTTTTAATTTTTTATAGAGATGGGGTCTCACTATGTTGCCCAGGGTGGTCTTGAACTCCTGGCCTCAACTGATCCTCCTGCCTCACCCTCCCAAAATGTTGGGATTACAGGCCTGAGCCACTGAGCCAGCCAGGAAAGACTTTCTAACAATCACCTGGTTCCGCTCCCACTCCTATCACTACCTAGCTAAACAGGCTTGGGTAACCAAACACTTTGACTTCCAGTTTCTCTGTATACTGAGCAAAGGCATCATCGAGGACTCACAAGTCTAAAATTCTCTGATTCCTTAAGTTCTAGGTGGCAACACAGCATAACGAAAAAATACAGACTTTAGATCAGTCAGGCTTGGATTTGAATCCTAGCCCTCTCCCTTACTTAAAATACATTTTATTGCTAAAAATGAAGATAGTGTTCAGGCTGGACCTGTCAAGTAGGTATGACGGTAGTCTGCAGGAGGGTTACCTGCTGATGCAGTGGTAGGCGAGGCACGGCCCAGCAGGGATGCGGCTGAGTCCTCCCTAAGGGTGGTAGGCATTCCTAGTGACAATCACTCAAGAAGAGGTGGATACTTAGAGAGGAAGAGAGAATGAGGAGGGAGGGCACTACGCACTATGCACAAAAGGAAGATATTGTCTTTCCTCTTAGGAAAGAGGCTTTTATCTGCTGAGGTAAGCCAGGAGCTGAACGGAGAACAGACGGGTTTTAGATAATTCTCTGTTTAGTCTCTCAAGTTATTCCTTGATCTTAAGCAAAGTCATATTCAAACATCAAGAAAAAAAGATAGAAATAGAGGAGTCCATAAACCTTCTAAAAAAGGAGACCTGTAAAAATACCTGCTATGAATGATAATGCCAAACAGAAAAAGCAAATAGTAAACACACTCATTCTTTTCCAAGGACAAGTCATTTTAAAACATTTATTCAAATATCAGCTCACCTTAAGATCCAGTGGCAGCTTGTTGGAGGTGAACACACTTAGCTTGATCTGGGGAATGCTGATTTTGAGATTTTCAAAGTAGTATCGAATTGGTGTCCCACCTTGCTCAACTGTTTTTTCATGGAGGTTTTCATCGTATTTTTCCACCTCTGGGACAAAGGCAGAATTTAAAAAAACAAAAACAAAAAGGAATTTCCTTACTCTCACAATTCAAATACTTGTATTCATATTGAAAAAATTCATCAAAAAAATGTAAACACCCCTCAATTTAGTTTTTGAGGGTTCAATAAGGCATATAGTATTCTGATATCATTTTTTTTGTAAAAATACATCTGTTTTGTGTTGCTTATTAAAAAATTAGACTAGCTTAGTCTTTTACCCTGTGACTCTATACCATCTAGCAGATCATCATCTTCAGAAAAAATAAGCTAGGTAGAAAAGCCAAAGGTCACAGGTGTGTCTGCTAGCAATGGCTTTCTGTTGTTATTACCAATGACCCAGATTATCTGAATTTATTTCCATAAGATGATATCCAAATAAGGTCTTAGAATGCAGTGTAACTGAATCATAATAAACAATATCAACATTAAGGAATGAATCTAAAGGAAACATAATGCCTGAAAAAGAATCAGGCTGCAGGCTATAAGGCACTGACATCACTACAAGCAGCATCCTCTCCCCCAAATGGCAGACATCCATTTAAATACGGCAATCAAGGCCGATTTGTCACTTGCTATCCGATGCAATGTGAAGGATTAACCTGGGCTAAAACATAGTAATGTGCTCTTTGCCTTGATGCTACACCCACATCCATTTGGGCAGCACATTTTCCCTTGGCTTCGTGTGCTTTAAAATAAGACCAGAGAGCTTGCAAGTACCTACTTATCAACAAACTCATGGTGTAAGGTATTACCAGGTCTACTTACAGAAAAAGGATACTGCAACAGAGACCTACCTATCTGTACGTTAGGAAACAGAAATAGCTATAGAAAGGAGAGGAGATGCTCCAATGAAAGGCAGACAAGGATTTTGCAAAAGTCAAATCTGTTACACAATGCTTGGGGATAAATTTATTAGAGCAACTTATAAGAAAAATTACAAGAAAAGCATGTCCAATCAATTTAAAGTAAAACTTCCCAGGAAGGTACCAAAACAGAATGGATAACTGGCAGGCAGGCTCCCAAGTGGCTGTCTGAATACAAATAAACACTGGTGTTCAAACCCAAAGTGGAAAACACAGCATTAAACATACAGGATCTTGCTCTTGATCCCAAATACTCTTAAAGCTTAAATTCTAAATCTGGGATAAAAAGAACAGAAACATTTTTCTTGCATTGTGTGTATGTATGTACATATGTACACACATTCGCAGTGATTTTTTTCTCTAGCCAATATGGGCAGATAAAAATGAAAGTCTCCTTCTTATCTTTTCTTCAGGCTTAATATTTAGTTTAACTTCAAAAGACTGAGCATCATTTTCTTTCTAAGCTGTATATACAGCCCTAAAAAGCCCACCTAAAAGCTCTAAAAGCAGGAAGAAATGCCATAATGAGGAATCTAAAGTAAAGGGACAACAGCTAAATTATTTCTGTAGCACTGCTAAAAATTTAGGTTTTTCAACAGCTTATCTTACTCCTTTCTACAAAGAAGAGAGTAAAGTAACTAAAGTAACTTTTTAATTACATTAAGGCATAAGGGTATGGATGTCAAAAGTTAATGAATTGAGGCTAGCCAATTTTATTTTCTCTACTAAACCAAAGGAACTGTCGAAGGGATTTCTGATTCTTGGCCTTGAGTCTGTTTAATAAACAAAAGTTAGGAAACAAAGTGGTTTGCTAAATGACTAACCTCATTTATGTTATTTTAGAACAGATGAATCAAAAAATGCAAAGCAGAGAGAATAGTATACTGCTTCCCAAAGGCTTACCTCTGGATATTCCAGGATACCAGAAGACCCCTGAGTAGCTGCCTTAGTTCAGAGATAACTTGGATGACAAGTAACGCATTGAAAGAGAACAACTGAAACACAAACCTGAGCTTCCTAGCTCAGGCTGAGAAGTGGAAAGGGAGCTTGTCAGGCACCCAGGGGCTACTTATTTTTACAACAGACTAAAAAATACCATCCTTGGGCCAATTCCTAGACACAAACATAGAGTGTACGACATTACCTGATTCTGCTTGAGCGTAGCCAAAGAAACTGAGCAGCTTGAGGAGTAGTTTCTCCTCAATTTGTACTGTGAACCTCTGAGCCGTGATCATCAGATGCTAGAGACAAAGAAATTCTGATTTACTATGTGAAGACCAGAACGAACTTTCATCTGTGCCATTAAGAAGGCCTCGATGACACAGAATGGTTTCTTTACTCACGTGACTTTAGGATCATATTGCCAGGTTATGTCTGGCTTCTCTCTCCTTACATTGTTACAGTTAACCAAAAACTCCAGAAGATGTTTAGTAGATGATTTGCCATCCTATTGTTTGGTTCCCAGGGTACGTGGGCCTCGTTAGTGAGGATTGCAGCTTTGGGTGCACCGTGGCAGAGGAACTTTATGGTGCAACCAGTTTAAGGAGCAGCATGACTGGGCTTGTGGATCTGAGGGCTGCATGTGGGCTTGGTCCCATCAGCACGGTGGCAAAGGACCAGAAGTATGGGAAGCAACCACTTAAATGGCTCCCAGTTTTCCAGAGTTTGCTGCTAAAACAGTTAGCTTCTACATGGACGTCTGTTCAAGAAAGAGTTCGTCACTTTTCAACTATCTGCTTTTAGTAAACAGTGTGGTCACTTACAGAGCAGCATGTCTGTCCCAAGATCAGACTCCTCATAGCCCTTTTCCAATATTCAGGATTATTCTATTTTTAACAATAGATCTGGATCATGCCTATTCCTGATCAATCTAGATGCTTCATTCAGTGACCTCATTCTGATGAAAACTGACTGGCCCCTATGGATTCAATACTATCAAACTATCACCTGCAAGATCATTGAAAACACAATTGAGAAAATAAAGTGCCAACAGAGAGAGTTCCTGTAAATTGCCCTTAACAATCTATGAAGTTGCATGTGGCTTAACCCTACAGAACTACTGCACGCTGCACTGGTGCTCTGAGACTTGGCTGTGAGAGAACAAATCAGTCAACCTTCTGGCACAGCCCTGACCCACCAGCCCACCTTGTAGATGTTGGTCAGCGCACTCTTACTGGGGAACTTCACCGCGTTGACTTGCACGGCAGGGCTGGTGTCGACGACCTCATTCTCGTTGCTCAGGGGAGTCACGTAGAGCATGAAGGGCTGAGTGGTACCGATGAGCTGATTATCCACCTAGGACATGAAAAGGCAGCAAAGCCAAAACAAAATCAGACAAGAGGCTCCGTTTGCATTTTTACCTTCGAGTGGTGCCTGATGATACGCATGTCACTCAGTCCCCCGCCATTTCACTGTATCTCGACAGCGGCTCGCTAGACCAGTAATAACAATAGCAGTAGTAGTAACAACAACAGAAGGTATTATTAGGTGAGTACTTCACCAAACGGTATTTTAAGTTTTCTCACCACAAAAAATGGTAAATATATGAGGTAATACACAGGTTAATTAGCTAGATTTAGCCATTCTGCAACATATGCATATTTCAAAACATCATGCTGTATATGATAAATATATATAATATTTGTCAATCAAAAAAATTAATAAATGAATGGACAATAAAGAATTTTTTAAAAGTTTTAACAATCAGGTGAATACTATGTGCCCAGCACCATGCTCCCCACCTCATATGCATATCTCTTCAAGTGATGTGATACCTATAATGTCGGTGTTATTAAACTAAGGGCTTTGCTGCAGTCCTCAGCACAACCCTCTGAGCCCTGGCCTCATTGTACAGATGAAGATGCTGAGGAGAGAAGCCCTTGCTCAAGGTCATACAGCTAGTCCATGGCAGAGCTAGAACTTGAATCCAGGTCTGTCCGACCTCAAGGCCAGCACTCTTAACCACTATGCTAGTGACGCTTCTCTCTTGCTCCAAATTCCTTGAAGACAATTAAAATTAAGAGAATCAGGAGCTCAAATGGCTACCAAATGGGAAGAGTTCCCTGCCCTAAAGTCAACTCCCTTCTTGGCAATGACATGAGTAAGTCAGTGGCAGTAGGGACGACTCTATCCACACAGCCCTGATCAGCACCGCAACAGAGCACGCTCGCTGCACTCGGGTGTGTGTGGCTGTCGGGGGCTACTGGGGGAAGCAGCCATCTTCACTTTCTGTTTAACACCAAAGGTCACCACTAGGAAGAGGGAGGAGGAGAGACTATCCGTTGGGTACCCCTGAGAGATCATCTGTAGGTACTTTCTATACACCACCTAACATATCCCTTCCCCAAACCCTAAAGGCTAGGTATTATTCCTTCTCATTTTACAAACAAGTAACGGAAGCCCACATTCACAGAGCTAGTAAGTGGAAGAGCTGGGATTGAAATGCAGATATTTCTGGCACCAAACCCTTTGACCTTTCCATTACGTCACACAGATTTCCACATGGCCATGTTGTATGATCGGTGCTGACTTTCCGTATGTTGACTCTCAGGGCGGGGATAAGGGCGAGAGACTCGGAGAACTTTTTCCTACTTCCATTCTTGCCCCTCACAATGTACTCTCTACAGCAGCCAAAATGATTTTTAAAAAAACATAAATCAAGTCATAGACCTCCTTCCTTCAGTGGCATCCTTTTCTCTTAGGATAAAACCGAACTTCTTACCACAGCTCCGATGCCTGAATAATCTGGATACTACCAAACGCTCTGACTTCATCGCATACCACTCTCCAGGTTTGCTGCCATTCGCACGGAGCCTCCTTATGGTTTCTTAAATGTGGGCAAGTCCCTCCCTCCTCAGGCTCTCTGAGTTTTTCTGGAATGGTTTTCCTAGTATCCTTCTCTATGGTTTGCTCACTCTCTTCCTCCAAGTTTCAGTTCAGCTCTCACTTCCTTAAGAAGATCTTCCCAAGCCACTTGATCTAAAGTAGTCCCTCTTTAGGGCACGTATCACAGGATGTCATTATTTACTTGTTTACTTACTGATTGGCTGACCTCCTCCCTACGTAGTTAGTTCAAAGAGAGCAGAGACTACATTTTTTTCGGTCACAGCTGTATCTCCAGAGCCTAGTACAGTGCCTGGCACATAGTTGATGCTCTGTAAGAATTGACTGAATGAATGCATCATTACCTATCTCATCTGATATATAAAATGACAATGAAGATCTCATCCACTCTGCCTTCTCTTTTATTCTTTCCCTAAACACATCTGATAACAAGGTATACTAACTGAGAATTACTAATTCTGGTTTTATTCTCCCAATTAGATTTGATGCTCCCCTAAGGACACGACCTATATTTTCTATTTTATTTATTTATTTTTACATCAGAGTCCACACTGGAATATATTTTCTATTTTAAAAAAGTCTTTGTCAGCCGGGCGTGGTGGCTCACGCCTGTAATCCTAGCACTCTGGGAGGCCAAGGCGGGTGGATCGCTCAAGGTCAGGAGTTCGAGATCAGCCTGAGCAAGAGCGAGATCCCGTCTCTACTAAAATAGAAAGAAATTATTTGGACAACTAAAAATATATATATAGAAAAAATTAGCCGGGCATGGTGGCGCATGCCTGTAGTCCCAGCTACTCAGGAGGCTGAGGCACGAGGATTGCTTGAGCCCAGGAGTTTGAGGTTGCTGTGAGCTAGGCTGACGCCACGGCACTCTAGCCAGGGCAACAGAGCCAGACTCTGTCTCAAAAAAAAAAAAAAAAAAGTCTTTGTCACAGCACTGTAACCATAGTAAACCCTAAAATCTGCTTATTTTCTATGATTTGCAGCACACATTAAATCTAGGGGTATTACAGTCAAAAAATATTTTAATGAATGGCAAATGGCTCCTCAGATCTTCTCTCTAAGGTCAAAAAAGCAGGACAAAGAAAAAAAGCTATAAGATAATAACTTTCTATCTGTAGGTAAGAAATAGGATGAGATTAGCCTGGACTCTTTGCTATTTGTAATATATGATAAAAGAAAAAATTCTCCTGAAAAGAGGTTTTGGTGTTGACAATCTGGATGAAACTGCATGAGTTAAGGGGGCAGACGAGCGCCAAGCACAGGGACACATTGTGCACTCCCAGGAGGAACACAGGCTGTCCAATTGGACAAAAGAACCACAGTTTGGGGTTTTAGGTCCTTCTTTTGGAAATGTTTACCAGGAACTAGTTTCCTAGACATATTTCAATTTTGGTGGCAGTCGGAAAGGAGAGGGTTTCAAGTATGATGTTACAAAGAGATATAGGAGTTGTTTTGACACCCACCATGATAACAGAACTCTGCCAAAAATTGTCAAAATCAACTTTTTCAGAACTCAAAATTAATCAAAGCCTTGCAAAAATCCAAGGAGTATTTATTTAAGAAAATAAGCTGCAACTTGGTAAGAACAGTGAGCTGTGTGGCATTTTAACTTGTTCTATTCCCGTTACCCCTTACCCAGCTCCGCGGTAGCTCTGAAAACCAACAGCCCTGCGTCACGGCAATCGTGGTGACACAAGGCTGCCTAGCGGCCACTGGAGAAACCAAAAGGAATCTGCAGTTGCTCCCAAGCCCCATTCCCAGAGAATTATCAGTATTTGGCTAGTCTGGTACCTCTCTGATATCAGTAATTTGCACCTTCTTTTTTCCTCCTAATCAGATTGGTCAGAGCTTATTAATTTTATGATCTTGAAGAACCAACTTTTGATTTATTGATCTTCTCTACTGTGGTTACTGATTTCCAGTTCACTGATTTTCCACTGTGATTTTTAGTATTTCCTTTCTTCTGCTTACTTTTGTTTTAATTCGCTCTTCTTGTTGAGTGTCTTTATTTTGAGAACTTTCTTCTTTTCTTATATAACATTTAGTGCTATGAATTTCCCTTTAGTATTGCTCTAGTACGTTTCCACAAATTTTGAAATCTTGTGTTTTCATTTTCATTCAGTTCAAAATACTTTCTAACTTCTGGTTGAGTTCTTCTTTGGTCTATGGGTATTTAGAAATGTATCATTTTCCGAATATTTGGGGGATCTTCCCAACTATCTTTCTGTTATTTCTACTTTAATTCCATTGTGGTCAGAGAACATACTGTGCATGACTTAAGTCCTTTTGAACTTGTTGAAAATTGTTTTATGGTCCAGAACGCAGTCAATTAGGTCTAGTGGACTGATAGTGGGTTCAAGTCTAGTATATCTTTGATAATTTTCTGTTTATTTGTTCTACCAGTTATTCATAAAGTGGTATCAAAATCTCCAGCTGTAATCGTGTATGTGTCTATTTCCTCTTTCAGTTCTGTCAGCTTTTTTGCTTTATGTATTTTGAAGCTCTTTGATTAGGTATATAAACTTTCAAATCTGTCATGTCCTCTTGACTAATTAAGTCTTTTATCACTAGGAATGACCTCCTTTATCCCTGGTAATATTCTTTCCTCTAAAATCTATTCTGCCTGATATTAATCTAGCTCATCTCAATTCCTTATGACTAGTGTTAGCATGGTACATCTTTTCCCACAGTTTTCCTTTTAACCCATTTGTGTCTTTATATAATAGTTAACACGTGTTTCTTGTAGGCAGCATATATAATTGGGTCTAGCTTTTTTTATATAATCTAATAATCTCTGCCTTTTTATTAGGGTGTTTATAGCAATTAAATTTAATTAATTGATATGGTTAGGTTTCAGTCTACCATCTTGCTATTTATTTTCTATTTGTCCCACTTGTTCTTTTGCACAATTTCTGCCTTCTCTTGGATTAACCAAGTATTTTTTATGATTCCATTTTATCTCCTTTGTTGGACTGTAAGTTATAACTCTTTTTATTGTTGTTATTTTGGTGGTTGCTTTAGACTGTATAGTATTTACCTTTAATTTATCAGTCTATATTCAAATTACACCATACCACTTCACATATAAGAAGATTAAAACAACATACTTCCATTTTTCCCCTTCAGCCTTTAGGCTGTTGCTGAGATACATTTCACTCTTACATATGTAATAGAACGAAAAATACAGTGTTATTATTTTCTCTAAATAGTCAATTACCTCTTTAAGAGATTTAAATAAGAAGAAAACAATCTAATATATTTACCCTTGTAGTCATCATTTCAGGTATTCTTCATTACTTTGTTTAGATCCAGATTTCTATCTGGTACCATTTTCCTTCTGCCTGATGATGTCCTTTAACATTTTTTGTAGTGTGGGTCTTATGATAATAAATTATTTTGGCTTTTGTATGTCTAAAAACATCTTTATTTCACCTTTGTTTTTCAAAGATATTCTTGCTAGGCATAGAAAGGGTTTGTTTTTATTCCCCCTCTTTTAGTTCTTCAAGCATTTTGCTGGCTAGGCGCAGCGGCTCATGCCTGTAATCCTAGCACTCTGGGAGGCTGAGGCAGGAGGATCACTTGAGGTCAGGAGTTTGAGACCAGCCTGAGAAAGAGCAAGACCCCGTCTCTACAAAAATTAGAAAAATTAGCCAGGTGTGGTGGCGTGTGCCTATAGTCCCAGCTCTTTGAGAGGCTGAGGCAGGAAAATATCTTCACCCTGGGAGTTTGAAGTTGCAGTGAGCTGTGATGACACCACTGCACACAAGCCCGGGAGACACAGCAAGACCCTGTCTCCAAAAAAAAAGATTTTGCTTACTACCTTTTCATTTCCATTGCTCCCAACACGAAATCTGTTGTCATCCTTATCTTCGTTCCTTTGCGTATCCACATCTTTTTTTCCTCTGGCTGCTTGATCATGGGTTTTGAGTAATTTGATCATGATGTGCCTTGATACAGTTTCCTTCATAGTTGTGTGTTATATTCCATCTAGTGTAATTTTCACTTCATTTAAATCTCTACAAGTTTGAGTATTTTATGTCTTCCATGTCTCTACTTAACTTTTTAAACACACAGAATACAATTATATTAGCAGTTTTAATGTCCTCCAAAAATTCTAACATCTGTGTTAGCTGTGGGTTTTTTGATCAATTATTCTCCTCATTATACAGTGTTTTCCTGCACCTTTGCACACCGATAATTTTTGATAGGATGAATTGTGAATTTTACCTTGTTGGGTGCTGAATATTCTTGTATTCCAATAAGGCTTCCTGAGTTTTATACAGGGATATAATTAATTTACTTAGCTCTTTCTTTTATGATTTGACAGGCAGGTCCAGAGCAGTGCTTGGTCTAGGGCTAACTAACCATGGAGGCAAGACTGTCCTGAGATCTTTCCACTGTCCCATAAATTCTTAGTTTTTCCAGTCGTGCTGGTGGGAACGAGCACCATTCCCAGCCCTGTGTGAGCAGAGGGCACTGCTCCTGCTGATCCTTTTGGATGGGTAGTTTCCTCATACACATCACAGATCAGCAGTCTGCCGAATACTCAAGGGGGACCCTCTACAGATCTCCAGCGCTGTCTTTCTACGTAGCTCTCTCCTCCTAGGTAACTGTCCTATAAACTGTGGATGCCTTGGTCTCTGAACTCTCAGCTCTATTTTTTTCAACTCATCCACACTACTAGCTTCCGTCTCAGTCTTCCCCCGCAGTGCCGCGGCCTAGACACCTTCTCAAGGCGGTAAGCAATGGCAATTCCAGGGCTCACCTTTTCTGTTTCCCACCTTTCAGGGAACTGTAGTTTGTTGTCTGATGTCCAGTGTCTTGAAACTGTTGTCTCCATACTTTATTTGAATTTTAGAGGTGTTTCAGACAGGAAGGTAAATCTAGTCCCCATTACTCTGTCTAGACTGGAAGAGGAAGTCTAATTCCCTTGCTTTTTCTCCCTATGATGAACCTCAATTCCTCTAAATGATGGTTAGATGATTTCCTGTTGTTTTTTCTACTGGCAAGATGGAGAATCATGGATCACTTTCCTCCATGCCACCTTGACTGAATTACCTAAATTATTTATAGACCAACTATTAAATTTAGAATTCTGCTGTATAGAGAAAAATTAATTAGCAAGACAAATGCAGGTATAAACAGCTATTTCATAGAATGATTATTTGAAGGCTACAAGATACTTCCTCCAAAACATTAAAGTTTTTAGAACACCAAACATTAGATCTGGCTGGGTGTTCAGCATGAAAACAAGGAGATTAACAACTTTGGAACTTTCCCCCTTACCTGTACATCCTGTATGCTAAGTTCAAGCATGTGACTGGTTGCCAGCTGTGTATAATGCACACTGATTCCTGTAAGACTTGCAAAGACCAGTTCTTCTGGGACTTTATTAATTAAGGACAACCCAATTCCACCTTCTAACCTCACGAGCACCTGAAAGGAAACCAAAATATGGCACCCTGATTGTTTAAAACATAGCTCATGGTAGCCAGGAAAGTACAAGAAAATAAATGGCTTTACATCCCTCTACTCCTTACCTCTGAGCAGATGAAAACTACTTAGGAGAGTCCCATTATTCACCTGGATGGCTCAAGTGCCACTATCTCATAGGAAGCCTTCCTTTCTAAGCATACCCCTAACCCTAACTAGAACTCCAGAGTGATGGGATGATCTCTCTATCAGAGCACTGATGACATTCTGCATCTTATTATGTAATTATCTGAGGATTTTTTTCCTATTTGGGATGAAAGCTTTTAATGGGTCATTCACCCTGCACTTGGTAATATCCAATACAGTGCTTTACATGTAAGCATTTGATTTTTTTTTTAAATCACTGAATAAGTATCAAATAATGTGCTTGCTCATGTTCATCTCATCTTCCTTTTCAAATTTTTCATTCTCTTCCCCAATGCCCAAACAGAGAGAGAATAAGGAAGATATCAGAGTGAACTAAAGCCAAAAACAAACAAAAAAACCCTAGTTTACTTATTCTTTATCTTAAATTTTATTTAAATTCAAATAGTTTAGCTTCCGTTATTATAACTTCACTTTAGCAATATTTGTTGCATTCTGATTCCACATAAATTTTAGTTGTCATTTACATGACATATTCACACATTCACATGATAACAGCAAACACTGAGAAGCAAAATCCATATTTAGAATCATATAGGGCAGAAAGAAAACAGAAAGCCTAAACTGAGAAAACCACAAAGCAAAACTCGAAAAAAACTGATGATCAAAGAAATAAATTTAAAGCATTTAAAACTTACTTCTAATTCCTGTTCTGTGTCTGGATTCCTTAATTTCTGTAGCTCCTGTTCCGTTATAGGAAGTTCATCTACTTCATACGATGAACGGTCACTTTTCCGGTGGCAGAAATCTGTTATCTGAAGTCAAATAAAATAATACTAAGAGGGCTCATGCTTCCACAGTGAAGTCCATTTTAACCCATGCCAATTGTGTATGTCAAAAGTCACTACCTGCTCAAGAATCCTATAGAAGTTAACGGTTTCTGAAGTACTGCTAACGTAAGATTTGTGTAATGATGAAGCAAAGGTGGTTTTAAGTCTACGTGGTAAACTCTCAAGCTGTAGATCTGAGAGCTTCGTGTGTGGGATTAGGTTATCTGTACGTGATCTCAAATTACAGTTCAAGTCAAAATATGCAAAACTCAAGATCACTGCATTCATTTTTGCCTTAAAAGAAGACTGCTTTTTAAAGTGGTATTTTGGATTACGATGTACTATCTCACAGATTTCATTATTACATTTCGACATCTTTTTTTCCTGAGTTCTCCAATTACATTGTGACTTAATAAATTTATTAATATATTTCCCTCATAGATCTCTCTTGAGCTTCAGATCCATATTTACGACGACTTTTGGACATCTTCACATAGACATCATACAGTCCCCTTAACTCAGCAAGTCCAAAACCTAACCCCTCATTGCCCCACAGGTCTGCTCTGTGTCATCTCTTAGTGATCTGAACTGTTGCCCTCCTAATTGCCCAAATCAGAATCTTGGAGGCCATTCTTGACTCCTTCCTCTCCCTCATCCCCACAGTCAACCGATCACTAAATCTGACTGACTCTACTCCTAAACAAGCTTTCATTTCTATTCATTTATCTCCATCCCCCTCAGGCCCATCTCCCGCCATTTCTTCCAGTCCAGGCCATCATATTCTCTCACCGACACTACTGTGAGAGCCTCCCAGCTGGTCTTGCTCTGTCTCCAGCTTTGCCCCATTCTCCACACTGCAGCCAGAGTGAGCTATCTAAAATAGATTTGTGACCATGCCATTTCCCGAATCCTTGTTGCCTCAGAAAAACCACAAACTCTTTAGTACATATCTCAGACTTTTAATGATCTGGCCCCTGCTTCTATCTCTAGCCATATTTCTTACCATATTCTATGTGCCACTTGGGCCTTCACTAATCAACTTCCAAAATACTATATATTAATAACTTACTTATTTTGTTTGTTACTCACTGTTTGTCTACCCCCTTAGAATGTAAGCTCCAAGAAGGCAGGGAATTTTGTCTGTTTGTTCACTGGTACATAGTCAGTACCTAGAACTGTGCCTGGCTCCAATAGGAGCTCAATAACTATTGATGAACACGCTCATTATTGAGGGCACAGTCCCTCCACCTTTCCCTCTCTATTTGACTAACTCCTTTCAGTTAACATCTAGGTCAAAGCTTAAGCATTACTTCTCCCAGGAAGCTCCCCCAACTGCCAAATGCAGGAATACAAACCCTTTCTCTATACCACCCACTCCTACTCTCATAACACAACATTTTAATTGTCTGATTAGGGACCTCATATCTTCTTGTTGTTAATGTTATTAATATAACAATTGCTTAAATTAATATTAGCATAATGATCAACAACAATGATAATATTAATATGTATTGTTCTTAGCATTATCTTCTTTAATTCTTATTTTTTAGATTATATTTTAATTATACTTTTTAATACTTATATTTTACTTCTACTTTGTTATAATAACTTTGTGAAGCAGATTCTATTCCCGTTTTATAGATGAAGATACCATAAATATGTTCTCACATAATATGTTCAATAAATATTTGTTGAATGACTAACCAATGGGAAGGAAAAGTACACTGCGTTCCATGTCAGTTCTTATGATAAATTATTACCTGGAGTGCTCTAGTTGGTCCATCTGGGATGACTCTAATGGATAAGATTCCAGAACCAGGTCTCATTTTTTGGTTAATAAACTGTTGTTCAGGTGGAACTGGCCCCAAAAGCTCCATCGAAGTGTCAGGACCAAGAACAACTTCAGCTCCATCAAATAAACCAGAAAGCCCTCCTTTGGCCTAAAAGACATTGGAATAAAGATGTATAAGAAAAGACAAAAGAAATGATTTTGAAAATTTCACATGCCATTTGAAATAAGGTACTAAATTTAAATTCTCTTCTGAAGAGTCACCATCAATGTATGGCAAAGCATTTACTACGTGCTCAGCTTTGCAGATGATAAAAACCAGTTAGGATTATTTGAGTAAAATGGAAAGTTATGCCACATGAATTTGGGGAATTATCAGTAAGAGATAATTCCATGAATAGAGTATATCAATTTTACTCTGCCTTATAATAACTTCTAATCATTAAAGTAAACTTTTTAAAAAGCCACAGAGTATTCTGATTAGAGTTTGCTGAAAAATCTGAAATATTCTGAAAATAAAACAATTAGTACTATCATTTGGCTTTCTAATAAGAAGCAAATTCTAGCATTGAAAACCTCCCCAAATAGGCCTAGAGCTGGACAACTAACCCAAATACTCAAAAAAGGGTGCCTCTTCTAAAACGAAATATGGAGCCAGGAATGTCACTTGATGCCCAGTTATTTAGGCCTTTGGGAAAAAGTACCTTCTTGTTATAGCCCCCAAGTAAATGCAGTCTACAGGATGATGGCTGGGAAAGCAAACACAAGGCTGGAGAAGACAATAGCAAAAAATGTCTAAGTCCCCTGTATTCATTTTTAAATACTGAGTAATGAAAAGGAAACCTTGAGAGTTGCATTTGTAAGACAGGTTTTAACACACAGAAAGCTTTTTATGACTATTGTAAGTTTAGAAAGAAAGTACATGCACAACCTAATAAGGGCAGTGTCACAAATGTTTTAATGTCTTCAATTACTTTATTCAACATAATAATATTGAGACAAGCTTATTTCCCTAACCAAAATACATCTGCTCTGCTGAATGCTATTATTATAGGGTCACTCACAAGCAGAGAAATAAAGAAATAGATTCACAAAAATATCAAATACCAGAAAGGGATTTTAAGGAAGAAAATGCTCCAAGAGAATTAGAATTACATGGGCTTTAGAAACAAACTAGAAGTAAAGTCAGGGTCAAACACGGAACCCACCAATTATAACAAGCCCTCTTTTGCCTCTAGAAGTCTGAATTGTATTGCTAATTGAAAATCACAAATCCATTCCAGATGTGTGCTTCATATAAGTAAGCAGCTTGTCTTTGATGAAAAAGACTCAGGGCGATAGAGATAAAGAAAATAAATCGCACCAAAAGCAGTCAGAGGCTCCTTACGGTTTTGCAAACCGCCCTGGAGTATAATCTCCCCGTATGAAAGGACAGCCTGGTTTCCACCAGGGACAAACACATTAACTGTTCTCTATCAAGGGCCTGATGTTCTAGTATCTACCTTTTGGGTAAAACCCTGGGCTGGGGCAGAACCGCACACACAGTTGCACATGTTGTTCTGTGATATGCCCAAGCCTCCTAGACACACCTTCTGAGGTCCCCAGGGTGCGCTTCCCAGCATCCTATAGTTTAAGGGTTGCTTCCTACTTCTCCGACTCATGGTCTCCTTCCTAGCCTGAAGCCAGAAAGGGCAGAAAATCTAAACTCTTGGTAATTTTCCAAACACGTATTTGCTTAGAAAGTACCTAGGAAATTATCATGGGGTAGACTGGCCAAGAAGAGGACAAAGGAAACTGTCCATAGTCCTCATTCTGACATTTGCTACGACAATTAAATGCTTATTTGGGCACCACTAAGAATGTGGAAGTAAACCAATCAAGAGCATTAGATTCAGCATCTCACAGAATACTTCACAAAAGACTTGTAGCTATTATATCAACTTCACAGGTCTAAAACTAACCTACCTAACTTAGTGTTAGACTTTTAGTTGACATTTTTCTTTCTTTTAAAATTACATAGATAATTTATGTCAAAGAAAAAAATCCACGTAAGCCAAGGTAAAAAAATTTCTATCACCCAGAAACCATTCTTAACACACTTGCTGTGTAGCACCTTCAAAACATTTCCCATGGAAATACACACAGATGCACAACAAAAGTTTCTTGACTTTCTTTTAACTAAAATGGAATAATACAATCCTTTTTATTAACTTGTCCCACTTAACAATTTATCATGTATAACCCAGTTGAGACTTTGTTTCAAAGAAGGCTTGACCACTGCTTGCCACAACTAGGGATATCAAAAACTACTGACCTGGACCACCAACCCATGTAACCCACAGGTCAGTTTTCCTTCTCGGAAACTCCATGTCTGAGTTGTGCTTCGCCTGCGATCAGGCTTCCTCAGCATCAGTGGCTCGTATCTGGAAAAAGGAAAGTGTAATAATTCTTCTTAGTCAACTATTTCAGGCCTGAAGAGAACATGAGGACCATGGCTGGGCTCTGTTTCTTCCTAATACTTTCTGCCCTTAAAATCTAAAGGTATGTTAGCTTGGATCTTGCGGCAGTTACTATCTCTTAATGAGGAAGAAGGAGTAGGAAAAGATGGAAATCAACAAAGAGTGGACACAACATGGTAAGATGTTACAGATTCACACTACAACACAACGATAAAGGTTCTTATATTCTCACAATGACAAATTACCATGCAGTATGGGAGGGGATATCTGCTAAATGTATTGAAAATCCTGTCAACAGTCTTTCTTCTGTTGTATTTCTAAATACTTTTATTTTTATGTTTTAATTTGTAAGTCATCTAAAGTCTGTTTAGAAGCAAATAAAGTGTCAACTGAAAACAAATACATTGATTTTATGAAGAAAGGCACAGGTCAATAAAATAACTTATTCAAACTTAAACAGCTGATTTGAATCCAAGCAATTATTCATAAAAACATTTAATTGATAATTTAATTTCTGCTTTTGAAAGATTTAACAAAATCATTAGAAAGAGTTTAAGAAAGAAATTTTACTTCTACTGAGTAAGAGTAGACTGGAAGTTTGGGTGAAAGAAATACTCGCTTTTTTTTTTGGACAGAGTCTTACTCTGTTGCCAGGGTAGAGTACAGTGGTATCATCATAGCTTACTGTAGCCTCAAACTCCTGGGCTCAAGGGATCCTCTTGCCTCAGCCTCCCAGGTAGCTGGAACTACAGGTACACCCAGCTAAGTTTTCTATTTTTTGTAGAGACAGGGTCTCTCGTTCAGGCTAGTCACAAACTCCTGACCTCAAGCAATCCTCAGCCTCAGCCTCCTGGAGTGCTAGAATTACAGGCGTGAGCCACCATGCCCGGCCAATACTCACTTTTCATAACATATCCTTTTTAATGTTTGAAGTTTCTTAACATATGCATGAGTATTGTCATAAAAATTTAAAAAAATAAAAGGGAAGGCCCAATATTCATATTTGGGAATCTGACAGGTTTCTGTCAGTGAAGAAAAATATACACAGAAATATATAAATCCTTACTTCATTTACATAACTCTCATTTTTTGGTGTAGATTTTCTCTGAGTACGAATTTGAAAGCAATGAGGTTGAATCAAAAGTTGCCTAGAAAATTACCTGTTGTCAGTCACTGCGGCAAGACCAGCAATATCTAAAATGGCAGACCCCTCGGTGGAGCGGGCAGCTGAGGGCTTGTTGGGGTTGTGAGGAACCGAAGAGCCCTCATGGGCCAGCATCCCTGTACCCGTCATCCTCCACAGCTGAGAGCGCTTGCCTGGTTCCTGTGGAGCCAACGCACACACAGACAGAAAGAGCCATCAGGGCGGCCACAGCCAGTTCCTCACTTCGAGAGCTTCCTCTAAGGGCTGAGTAAGTTCTCGAGTAGAAACTGTACTTAGATATTTTTCCACATTATACAAATGCCTAATTCAAATTTTCATTGTTGTTAATTCCTAATTGCACTTAGGATGAAATATGCTAACCTCTTGAACCAACTAACCAAAAATTAGAAATATTGTGAGTTTTAAAAATTTTATTATTTTCATACATCTAATATTTTTTCCTCTTTTTAAGAAATTAGAAACAAATTGCTGGGCAGTCTCCTATACTAGCTATACTGCCACAATTACTGCTGTTCCAGATGACAACTTCTCGTGCCCTTACCTTAAAAAGGGATCCAATTATATAAAGAATATATGATAGTCTCAATATCTGACTCACAGAAAAATAGAATTTAGCAGAGGTCTTCCTCCCTCTCCCAATGTCTAATAAAAGAAGTATACTATATTGATGGTTTCCAATTTTCAGAAGTTGATTATATTCAAATGTTAAGTTCATTGTAGTCAAAGTTCATACTAAGTTGATTGCTATTAATTCTAAATATATTTTCTCCTCAGAAATATGTTATAAATAGCAGTTGGGCTTCCAGGTCAATCAAGAAAGTCTATAAAATCCATTACATACTAGAAGTAATAACAATATTTATTGAGAATTTACTATGTGCCAGACATTGGTCCACGAGATTTACATACAGTAACTCATTTAATCCTAAAGACAATCCCATGACATTTATATGATTATGATCCTTATTTACAGATGAGGAAGCTAAGGCTTAGCGAGACGAAGTAACTTCTGCATGGTCACATAACTAGTAGGTGGTGGGCCCCAGATCTGCAGCCTGATTCCAGAGCAGGCAAGCTCAACTGTTCTGCCATGGTGCCTCCCTCACACGATCTGCAGAGTTCCATGTCAGTCATACCTGTACTCCAGCTAGACTGGTCAGGATGACATACACTCTCACCAGGTAGGAGCTCCTCCAGAGCAACAGACACTTCTGGGTACCACAAACTCAACGCTACACCTGTGTTGGAAAGACAGCTTTTGCATTACATTCTACAAAGTAAAAACTAACACAGTAGTATGAACACTGGAGTCAAAATGCCAGGATTTGAGAACCAGCTGTGTGATTTTTACGAGCTGAGTGACCTTGGACAAGTTACTTAATCTCTTAGAGCCTCTGTTTCCTGATCTGTCAAAGGGAGAAATTAGGCTACCTCGTATGGTTCTTGTGACAAGTGTAATAAACACAAGGTACTTAGCACATGCCTGGCACAGGGTATGGTCTCAATAAATGTTTGCTGTGTTATTATCATTATATCCCTTTACATGGCACTTTCTGTACATTATCTTAGTTGATCCTGCTAACAAACCTGGGAGGTCAGTAGGAAAATGAAGCTCAGAGAGGAGTGGGAAATACCAGCTATCACGTATCTTTAAGTGGCAAAGCCAGAACTGAAATCTAGAAAGAAATCATGCTCTTTCTACTGTGTGCTGCTGCCTCCTCTATCTGCAAAAAGAGATGAAACTGGGCTATACTTCTCCATCTCCAATCCCCACGTTTGCTTCTCTGCTCAGAGTAAGAGAATACATCTTATACATAGTAAGGGAATACATCTTTCCACGGCACCAGAACCAACATGAAAAAGCATCCCAATTATCCTGTAGATGCTATAGATTGGGAATCAAAATGCAGACACCAAGGTGAGATTAAGTTTTCATACAGGGATTCCTCTACTGCCTGCTCATTTGTATAGGCTCATTATAAACTGGAAATTACCAAAATTTCCACTTAAAAATCTGAGATGCACCAATCTCCTTCAAGTTCCCTCTTTCCCTAACCATTTAGTCCTCAAACCATTAGATGAGACTGTAGAAGGTAGAAGTCCATGGGGGCTGTGTGTTTGGGGCTGGGGGTTTGTGGTGGTCCAGTATGGGACTGTTGAATCCCACAAGGGACAAGAACAGTATGCACACGAGTGATGGGGCAGCCCGGTGGGCGACAGGGGTCGGGGGTGGGGGAGCAGGTGGTGATGATGACCTTCTGACATCCATGCCAAGGGGTGAGAGAGAGGAACCTAAGTGGAGCATCAGAGACAGAGAGAGAGGTGAGGAGGGCATTCGTGCAAAGGGAAGGGCTTGGAAGGGGGACTGCCCAGCACGTGGAGATCAGAGCCCAAGGGAGGTAACAAGGGTGTCCACAGGGGAGGGGGGGGGCAACCGTGGTGATGGTAGACAAGTTACATCAGGGAAACTGATCAAATCAATAAATATATTCTCAGTGCCGGACAAGGAAGTTTACAAATATGGAAGGGGAGAAAATGACAATGATCTTTGTGAAGTTGGACTGGAATTGTAAACATCAGTGTGAGCTGCTGGGTTTTGACATAGATAGAGACAGACCCGGTACACAGATGAAACCCCTAGCTCTGTCCTCTGAGAGAGCCTGGGAACTGTGACACTGCAATAGCAGCGAGTGCACCTAGTGCACATACCGTAAGTCTCTAAATTCCATTCTCTGATAAAAGGGATTGAGGCTCCCTGGAGAAGTGGCAACTTACAGGAACAATGCAAAAAAAATATAAGATGGGCCCAGGATAACTTGCTGTGTCAGAAAGGAAGGAAGGAAGGGCACATGTCAGAATAACACTGAAGGTTAAAGGAATTCACTGGCCAAAGATGAGAAATACTGAGCATCAAAATAAATACTGATAGTAACAGATAACCCACTGAATAAAAGAGGAGCCCATACTGACTGACTGCCTGATACACACAAACACACAAATAGAAAATTTGATGAGGAATAGGATATTTACAGTCTCAAAGTATTGCTCTGCAAAATACTAACGACAAGGGGAAAAAACTTCACTTCTTCGTGGAGGAGGCTGGCAGACACCTCAATCAAGTGCTCCAAGTTAACATCCCCAGTAATGGGACAAATCAACATCACAGCACTGCCTTTGTAAAATTCCTCTCAACTTTTCTGGAAATTTGAGCTTGTTTCAAAATCAAAAGTAAAAACCAGAAAATAAATCAACCAAACAAACACCTAAGACGTCACCTTTCTTTCTTTTTTTTTTTCTTCTTTTCTTTTTTTTTTTGGAGACAGGGTCTCACTCTGTCATCTGGGCTAGAGTGCAGTGGCATCATCATAGCTCACTGCAACCTCAAACTCCTGACCTCAAGCGACCCTCCTGCCTCGGCCTCCCAAAGTGCTAGCATTACAGGTGTGAGCCACTGTGCCCTAAAGAGGATAAATCCATTTAATGCCACTCATATAGTTTTAGATAATTTTAGATGTCAGTGTAACTCATTTATTATCTAACCTCCCATTTACCAGTTTTCATCCTCAAGTAAAATAATAACTGTGAAAAAGTTCAATAAATCATAAAATGTTATTTAAAATGTTACAATTATTGCTACTTAATTTTAAAAAGCTCTTCTTGCCTGCCTACCAGTCACCGGCCCTTGGAATTCCACATGTGTTTCACTCAGGTTTTGGTGGTCACAGCTGGTGCTCATATCCCACCTGGTAGGTCATCTCGCTCCGAGCTGGTGCTCACTCACCCTAACAGCCTCACACCTTGCACGTTCTTAAAAGTCACCTGACATCATTTCCAAAGGCGCTTCCACTTGTTTTTTTAAATTCATGTCTGTCAGACTTGCTACTTCTTTTAGATTTCAGACCAAAATTTTGCTTTTCAAAATCTCTTTCAAATCTTCCAATAAAAGCATCAAAAACTGCTTACCTTCAATTCCTATGCCTACTGATCTTTTACTTATCACCATTCCCAAATCTCATTTCCAAAATGTATCTCACACATAAGCAACAGCCATATATACGAGTGTGATCACATTTTAAGCAAATGAGAACTATATGACTTGGAACTGGTATGATACAAAAATACATGTACAAGTTCTGATATATGCTACAACATGGATCAACGTTGAAACATGTCATATGAAAAGAGCAAGTCATAAAAGACCATTCATATGAAAGTGCACAACACGGACATCTATAGAGACAGAATGTAGATTAGAGATTGCTTGGGGCTGCGGAAATCGGGGAACCTGGCGGTGACAGCTAAAGATTACAGGGTTGCTTCCTGAGGTGATGAAAATGTTCTAAAATTGAGTGTAGTGATGGTTGCACATGTCTGTGAATACACTAAAAACCACTAAATCGTATACCTCCAAGGGTAATTTATATGGTGCATAAATTATATCTCAAAAAAGCTGTTAAAATATTAAATTTTAAAATACATGTATTAGAGTTTCATTTGCTGCACAAAATTTTAAATAATTTGAATCCCCCACTAATCAAAACTCTGGCAAGAGCTACATCACCTCCAAATGAGCTGTAAAGAAGGTGCGTCACTGCCAGGAGTGACAGCACAGCCGGTGGGAAGCAGGCACCTCTGTCAGGGTACTTTTTGAATTATTTGGTTTAAATTATGTGAAGTCTTCAGGAACTATCCCCTCTCAAGTCAGTGCTTCAAATGATTACTCTTGGTGGCCTCCCTCCCCTTAAAGTGGCTTCTGCACCTTTGTGTTCCCAAATAGCTGTCATCTTTCACTTTCAACTATTTAGAACAACTATTTCTGTCATTTTTCATATTTCTGGCCAAATTTTACTGCCTTTCTCTCCACGTATAGGTCCACTAGCATAAACATTTCCCTAAAATGACTTGAAAAGAATGTCAAACTGACATTTTTTTCTCTTTTTATGGCTTCAACTCTGAAGTCAGCATGAAAAAGGGAAATTTTAGTCAGTTTGATTTTTTTTTTTTTCCAATTCAGTTTAAGGAAAAGATTAGGGAAGTGTTACAACATAAAAATAAAATAGTGCAAAAGATAAATCACAAATTCGAAAAATAAGTTCTACCTAAAAAACACCTCAGAGAAGGGCTTGGGATCCCCATAGCAGGCCTCAGGGCACAGTGGGAACAGTGACCTGGTGCCTGCAAGATGCCTGGGTTCCACGATGTAAGCAAGTCATTCAGCCTAAGTCCCCATTTCCTCATCGTAAAACACTCTGGACTAGACCCTGAGTCGCTTCCAGTGCTAAAAATCTTTTATTCTAAACTCTAATTTCTAAGCTCTCTTACCTTCTTCTTTAAAATGACTCTTTGTGTCTTTGGTGAGACATCCAAAACGAGCTCAGCACAGGTAATGGCCTTGTTGGAAGCCACAGGCCTGCCTGTTCCCTCCTGCAAACTAGAATTTAAAAAAAAAAAAAAAATATATATATATGTATATATACACACACACATAAATATATACACGTGTACAAACTCACACATGTATTCAAGTTTATGTAAGCAAATGTCTAAAACTTCTATTAAAGAAGAAAAGTTTTTAAAGCATAGAAGAAAAAGTCCGACGTAGCAGAAAGATCAGGGTTATATTTTTTTTCCTGCACAGTTCAAAGATTCATCTGTCAGAAGACATACTCTGACATTTTTCCCCTCCTGATAATTTTAGTGGCTTAAAATTCAAACATAAAAGGATAACCATATGTCTTCAGAGGCTAAAAAAAGGCAAAAACCAAAACAATAGAAAAAAACAAGTCAGACATCAGACATATCAAGGGACCAAGAATTAGCTCTATTCTGCCAGGCAGAAGATCAGCATCATTGCATCCCCACGTCTTGGTAAGAAATCAGAAGTCCCTTTAGAATGAAAAGAAAACAAAGGGTTCATAATCACCTTCCTCCAATTCAATCATGTTGTCTTTCTCTGTGGTTTAAGAACCCTAAGCTTTGTGGAATGTTGTAGTGCGGCTACACTTTGGGGTATTTGGAGGAGGTTTTATTTATTCTGTTACCATTAATCCCTATTATCAAAAATAAGGTATTAATAGATAAATTAAGAGTTAAAAACTAGTATTTATGACAACAAAAGAACAAGTGACCCCTCCCCCAAAAAAGATAAATTTGATTTCATCAAAATAAAAAACTTTTGTGCTTCAAAGGACGTAATCAAAAAGACAACTAACAAAATGGAAGAAAATACTTGCAAATAATACATTTGATAAAAGAATGACATGAGATAAAATAGAGAACTCACATAATTCAACAATAAAAAGGCAAATAATTCAATTTTAAAATCAGCAAATGATTTGAATAAACATTTCCCCAAAGAAGATACATAAATAGCTAATAAGTACATGAAAAGAATATCATTAGTTATTAACAAATGCAAATCAAAACCAAATGAGATACCACCTTACACCTAGCAGGATGAGTATAATAACAATTAAAAAATGTGTTGGTGAAGAGATGAAGAAATTGGAACCTTTGTACATTGCCAGCGGGAATGTACAATGGTTCAGGCACTGTGGAAAATAGTATGGCGGCTCTTCAAAAAGTTAAACACAGAATTACCATAGAACCCAGCAATTCCACTCCTAGGTATAAACAAAAAAAGAATTGAAAACAGGTACTCAAACAAATATATATATACAGGGATGTTCATACCAACACTCTTCATAGTAGCCAACAGGTAGAAATAATCCAGACATCCATCAACGGATAAATGGATAAACAAAACGTAGCATACACATATAATAGAATATTACTCAGCCATAAAAAATGCTGAATATTTTCCATAAAAAGAATGAATACTTACACATGCTACTGTGTGGATGGACCTCAAAAACATTACGCCAAGTGAAAGAAACCAGACATAAAAGGCCACTTTTATGATCCCACTGATACGAAATGTCCAGAATAAGTAAATCCACAGAGACTAAAAGCAGACTGGTGGTAGCCTAAGGCTGGCAATCAAGAGGAATGGCAGTGACTGCCTGATAGGCTTGGCATTTCTTTTTGGGGTGATAAAAATGTTTTGGGACTAGGTAGAAGTGGTGGTCACACAACATTATGAATGTAACAAATGTCACTGAACTGTTCACTTTAAAAAGTCTAATTTTATGTTATGTGAATTTCACCTTAATAAAAACAAAAACAAAATTTCTTCTTCTTCATCATTAGTTCTCTCCAAGAATGCAAAGAAATAGTTCTAGTACACTCCAAAAGATGGTTCAACCTCTTAGTACACCTGGATTATTCTATTAATAATTCTGCTGTTAGAGTCTGAACACCAAGATTCGCAAAGCTTCTCTTTATATCTGCTCCGTATCAGTTCAACCCATTAAGCTCATAATCCTTCATTAGAATTCTTCAGTTGAAGAGCTTAGTAACTACTGGAATTTATAGAACACAAAGAGAAAAACATGACCAGCAACCAGATTTAGAATTGGTTTTTCAGGCACTAAACCTTGAGCATGTCACATTGTCATGGTGCCAGAATCTTTAAAAACAAATAAACAAACAACAAACAAACATTATTGGCTCCATTATAATAAGATAAACATCACAGCACCATCACTACCAAAGGGAACTGCAACAGACAGGAGAAAGAATGGCTATTCTGTGCAAATTCAAGTTATTACTCGTACAATCTGGACTGTAGGCAGATGAGAAAGATAATGCAAAAATCTAGGAATTATTTTGTGTGCCCCAGTCACATGTAAAAATCTCATTCACATGCAAAAATTTTCAGAATATTTTGGAAAGGAAGAGAACTTGAAACGTCCTGTTTATCAGGTGATTTATACTTATAATGCTAAAGATTCAGCTATTTCCATTTCTTCACAGATATACTCTAAAATTGTCCCTTTAACTTTAGCATAGAAACAATAAACTGTATGCACACGTTGGTGGAATAACTACTTTTTGAAAGCCCAGTGTTTAAAATCTTTACGTGCCGATCTAATACCAGAATTATTAATAAAATAACCTCGATATTCTTCACCTGAGTTTTCTAAATACAATTAGTCAAACAACAGTGAAGATTATAATTCCAAGGCAATTAGAATTACTGGAGTTAAGCTCCTACACTTGGCTTTAGTGAGTATTAAGACAGATCTTTAAGTGTCTGCTTAATCAGTCTTCTCAATGGGGGAGAGGAGTCAGAATGATAATTTGAATAATTATGATGAAGATCAGTCAGTTTCAAAAGAAGCAAAACAGACTAATAAATAGCTGAAAGAAAGTTTAAATACTAGAATGGATCTTTAAAAAAAAAAAAGTCTTGCCTCTTTGGATAAATTTTAATCCAGCCAAAACACAAGGGTTTAAACTAAATGACCTCTCAAGATAGACCCTGATCCTACGATTTGGTAAAGAATGAAGCATTATTCCTTTGTTCTTTGGTCTCCTGAGAAACTGCATAAAATTTAAAACCAGTTAATAATTAGAACCTTCTGCTTTACAAGAACAGTAATTTAATCCAGAATTACCCAGAGAATGTATATGTAGCAGCAATATAAATGAAATTTTCGTAATAAAGCTGTCGGTTATCCTGGAAATCATTCATGTTGCAGCTGATCTCAGAGGAACCTGCCCCTTTAACAGTGAGAGTGATAAAAGGCGGCAGGGTGGGTTCATCCCAGGCATAATCCAATGAAGTCATAGGCTTCACTTCAGTCCGGAGCCTGGGTTCGGCTACACCGTGCTGAGTAAAGACAACTGGGACCTAGAGTGACGGCAGAGAGGACAAAGAGGACTTTCATTCAGAGTGGTGTTACTGGAAAGTGAGTCAGTGCTTCCTAGGTTTAAGTTCCAGATCCTTCCCAAATGAATCCTATACAGGGAACAATCATCAGTGAGGTTCATCATCTCGCCTCTTCAAATGCCTTTCTAATCATCTTACAAATTCCAAAAACCTACCAATTAAAGGACGTGGGCCTACTGGATAAAGGGCTTTAAGAAGCTTTGCCAAGTCAAAAATCCAGGGGAAGCAATTCTATCCTTCCAATGGTATCTCTCCTACCCCAAACCCCCTGTGATAAACTTTGAATACAGAAAGGAATATGATATTTGGCTACAGAAAATCCCACATATTATAAGGCACTGTTATTCAAAGGCATGTTTTAAAATAGAATCTAATGATTTCCACACTGGCTTTACTTGGAAGATTTATAAAAATGCTCACTATAAGTAATCAACAGTAGAACTGTCCATTCCCATTCTCACAGGATCATCTCATCCCTGTCTCTGTACGGAATGTCTCCAGAGGGCATCATATTAACCACACACTCTAGTCAAAGTAAGTATTGGTGGCTAAAAGATTACTTCTGCCTGGACAAGGCTGCCCAGCAATCAAAATAAGCAGCAGAAACCACCCTCCTAATGGTAAGGATTTCTAGGGTTGTCCAGCTATAGAAAGCCTGTCTGTACAGCTTCTTTTAAACCCAAGTTTAAACTGTATTGTCCCATTATCTTAAGCACACGCTCCACCCTTCCACACATGAAACCGCCAAACTGGCTCTTCTTAACTCCACTTGATACCTTGGAAAAGTTGTCAATTCGGAAAGGAGGGGGTAATTGATCTGTGTCACTAAATGAGATCCTATATGTAGCTCCTCGGAGAGTAATTTCCACGCGTAGGAAGAAGCATTTTCCCAGGGTATCTCTGCAGAATAAGGAAACAAAAGAGGTCGTGTAAAATGGAGGAAACAAACTACAATCTGCTTTCTTCTTATGTTTCTCACATTCACAACATTGCTGGGGACTCAATCAATACCACCAAATCTACAGCCCACTGTGTGTTTTTAGATCATACTAAAAAACTAGAAATTGATAACATAATTACAAAATGGTGATTTTCAAATTCTCTCATTTTTTCAATATTTACTGAAATCCTGCTGTAAAGAAGAGCTGAAAAGCAGAGCATGTATATGGTGTATGTGTGGGCACATATATACATTTATATACAGATATATCACTGGAAGGAATTGAAAGCTCATTTTTTTTTTACTTTTTTTTTTTTACCTATGTCCCATGAAAGCTCATCTTTATAGAAAAATACCTGTTAAAAAATGTAGAATAAATGACAGAATTAGAAAGTCACCATTTTAAAACCACCAATGAAGTAACAGCTTCAAGTATGAACCATCAAACCATTGAGTGAAAGGATTTTGGGAAACAGAATACTCATAGTCTAAACTATCCCTCCAATGGATTACTCTTATTCACAAAGAAGAAAGGTAAATGTGATCAAACTTAACCCCATCAGCAATGGGACCAACAGACACTACAGGCCTCCTGATGGGATGCAATGGAAAAACACGTATCGCACAGGTAACGGTTACCAAAAATGTCTGACCCAAATATATATATATATAGCAAACTATCATCCAAATGCAGAATATAAGACATTCTAAGGTAACTGGCTTGGAGTCTTCGAAAATGTCAATGTCACCAAAAAAGGAAAAGTGGGGCTACTCCAGATTAAAGGAGACAATAAACGAACCACAGAAAATAACTGATCCTTGACTGGATCCCAGATCGTGGGGAGGAGTTGCTCTGAAGGATATTTCAGTCATTTATTCAGTCTATAAAGACTATTTGTTAGAAAACAAATCAATGTTAAATTTCTTCACTATATAATAATGGTATAACATTTATTTAGAAAAATGTCCTTATTTTTAGATGATAAGTGCTGAAGTTTTTATGGCTGAAGTATCGTGATGCCTTCAATTTACTTTCAAATAGTTCAGAAAAGTGGAGGGGGGAGGGGTGGCAAGGGAGAGATACAAAAGACAGAGAAGAGAGAGGAGAGACAAAGTGTAGCAAAATGTTGAAAATTGGTGAATCTAGGTAAAAGATATAAGGTTGTTCATTATACTACTCTTGTAACTTTTCCGTAGTTTAAATTGTTTCCAAATGAAAAGTTGGAGAAAGTAAAAGAAATAGATGGCATAGTTCTGTTCTCAGTAGTTTAGGACTGCATACTGAAACTATTTTTAAAGGATTAACAAAAGGTACACAAATCATCTTCCTCCTCTTTTATTTCTTTTGGTAGTAATCATGTGTAACTTTTTTGTTTATTCCAAATTGACTTCCTATTCTTACACAGCAGATCTGAGCTGTCTCCACCCAGGCGGCATATAAACACTCGTTGTTTTAGTTACAGAATCCCACACCTCTCTTCATTCTCCCTGCACTCCCAGTGAAATCTTACGAAGAACACACACTAACAGACAAAAGTTCTGGTTGAAGTAGGCATGAGGGTGCTGGAGCCCTATGCACTTGGTTCCCTTGGCCCCTAATGTTATCTCCTTCGAGCCCAATAGCTGCCAGGAAGACAGCTTATAAACCACTGTACCCAGATGCAATTCAAACTAACAAGGCCAAGGCAAAGTGTAATTAAGTAGGGCCCACCAACAAATCAGATAATGTATTTAAAAGTCAAATATAAATACTATTTTAGATCATATATTGTTAAATTATCATATTTCTATTCCTTTACAATAGAAAACTGACCATAATGTGTCAAAGATTAAATTTTGCTTCTAAACATGTTCAAATAGCACTGGTTTCAGATTCTTTAGCTTCAAAAGCATTTGATGAAAGAAATTAAAGATGACACAAATAAATGAAAAGGCATCCCATGTTCATGGATTGGAAAACATAACTGTTAATATGTCAATACTACAAAATACAATCTACAGATTTAATGTATTCCTTATCAACATTCCAATGGCATTTTTTGTAGAAATAGAGAAAACAATCTTGAAAAAGAAGAACAGAGTTGGAGGTCTCACATTTCCTCATTTCAAAACTTATTACAAAGGTACTGTCATCAAAAACAGTGTGGTGCCGGCATAAAGACAAACAAACCAATGGCACAGATTAGAGGGCCCAGAAATAAACCCTCACATACAGGGTCAAATGATTTTCAACAATGGTACCAAACCATGTCTTCAGGAAAGGAGAGTCTTTTTAACAAACGGAGTTGGGAAAACCAATATCTACACACCAAAGAACGAACTTGGACGTTCACCTTATACCATATACAAACATGAACCCAAAATGGATCACAGACCTAAAAGTAAGAGCTAAAACTATGAAACTCTCAGAATAAGAATTCCTACAACTCAACAACAACCTAATTGAAAAATGGGAAACCTAAAAAAGCAAACAACCTAATTAAAAAATGTGCAAAGGACTTGAATAGGTATTTCTCCAGTGAAGATATACAAATAAGCACATAAAACATACTCAACATCTCTAATCATTAAGGATATGTGAATCAAAACCACAAAGAGATACCACCTCACATCCATTAGAATGGCTACTATGAAAAACACAGAAAATAACAAATGTTGGTGAGGAGAAATTGGAACTGTAGAGAAACTGGAGAAACTGGAGAAACTGGAACTTCTATGCACTGTTGGTAGGAAAGTAAAATGATGCAACTACTATGGGAAACAGTATGGTGGTTCCTCAAAAAATTAAAAATAGAATGACCATAGGATCCAACACTTCCACTTCTGGGTCTATACTCCAAAAAATTGAAAGCAGAGTCTTAAACAGATATTGGTACACCCATGGTCACAGCAGCATTATTCACAATAGTCAAAAGACTTGGAAGCCACCCAAGTGTCCATCAACAGATGAATGGATAAACAAAAAGTGGTATATATACACGATGAAATATTATTCAGCTTTAAAAAGGAAGGAAATTCCGACATATTACCACATGGATGGACACTGAGGACATTATGCTAAGTGAAATAAGCCAGTCAAAAAAGACCAATGCCGTATGATTCAACTTATAAGAGGTATCTAGAGCAGTCAAATTTATAGGGACACAAAGTAGAATGTGGTTGCCAAGGGTTGGGGGCAAGGGGAATGGGGACTTGTTTAATGGGTACAGAATTTTCCATGACGAAAAGACTTCTGGAGATTGCACAACAATATGAATACACTTACACTAGTGAGCCATACACTTAAAAATGGTTAAGATGATAAATTTTATGTGTGTTTTATCAGAATTTTAAAATTTTTAAACAATTTAAAAAAAAAAAAGCACTTGACTAAAGCAGGAAGAAATATTAAGTCATCCTAAGCTGGTTAAGGTTGAATTGGTTGATTTGCCTTAACAAGGACTGAGCATTACTGGGCTAGGCATAGAAGGCCAGATAACTTACTGGAACTGCATCAGATGAGAGAAGAGTTTGTGCAAATGTGCCAGAATAGACAAAAACATTTATAATCAGTGTTACCATCTAAATGCAGACAGACTTTTCAGGGTTGCAGGTAATCATGGTATGAGCTCAGCATTACTCCTTTCTCTTGTAGCCTCTAAGACCACAGCAATGACACAATGGTCAAAACTGGCAACACCCAGTTTAGCTCATTCCATCAAAATGGTCATTCATGCTTCCTGGATTTTGCAAGTTCTAAGGCCTTCATCTGAGCCAGAAATATATGTACCCATTTTACAAAGAGCAGTGTGGGCTTACTATTTACATTACTATACCTCACACAAGGCTACTTTTTATCTATATTTAAAGTCTTGAACTTACCTCATGTTGATATGGAAGGAATTATTCTTGTTGACTTCAAAGCCTCCAGACCAAATACAGTTGGGAACATCCATCAGTCTGACACACAATAGCTGATCATAGTCATTCCGAGGCCAGTGGAACACCACACTGGAACCAGGAAGGGTAGAAATGTAACCTTCAGGATTGGCTGTTCCCTAAAACACACAGGATTACTGGCTTTAGTCAACAAGCAAATGTTTATTGAGTACCAACTCTGAGCCTTACCCTCCACCAAAAGCTATAGAATGATTATTCATATCACAGAACTTACAGTCTTGATGGGGATAAGCTATGACATTAAAACTCACTGTACTAGTAAATAAGCACTGGTCATTTTTCAACAGCAAACTGCTTACCTGTCCCCTGGCAAATTCCCTCTGTGCAAATGCAAGCTTGTGAGATGATTTATTATCTAGCAGGTAACGGGGGGCAAAGATGACCATACAGGTGTCAATGTATCGACCTCGGCCTTTCTTGACATCAATACCTACAAATAGCAAGAACCACTTTCATGAATTAACCTGAAGAGTAAAAATTCTTGGTTTGACAAAAATAAATACCCTTCAAAATTACTTAGTTTCTCTGAAAAAACTATTGTATCATCCAAAGAGGATATCGAACCTTCCAGGAATGGAATGGAAATAGCAATTCACTCAACGTATTATTCCTTATTCCCATTCAGACCTTAAAAAGTCTCAGAGACAACATCAATATCCTCATAATTCCTAGTTTCTTCATCAAGTGCATATCATTATAACAGTAACTGAAATACATAGGTGTTCAGCCACACATACCTTAGGTTTCCATTTACGAAGCTGACTACCAAGACAGTTTCACATGATACGTTTCTGTTTATACTTGGGACACAAAACTTCCTTCTAGAGAACGTTGCCATTTTTACAGGATATAGTGGAAATTTCAGATTACTTAGATTCTATAATGCCCTGAACTCACTTGACTCTTCTCTAGTATTTTCTTTTAGTCCATTGCCCAAGAATCCAGCTCAAA